ATAAAACAACATGTGTACTACTGTTTCATGAGAAACTATTTGTTCTGTAAGCCTTCACCTGAAGTACAATAAAAAAAAAAAAAAAAAATCAGTCAGTGAGTGTTAAGCGCTTTGTAGAGAATTAAAGTAGATGATATATGACAGTGACGGGAGACTATTTAGACTTGGTGTTTAAGGAAGATCCTTCTGCGCAGGTGACCTTTAAACTGAGATTTGAGTGACAAGAAGGAGCCAGATACTGGCAGAGTAGTGAAAAGAGTATTCCAGGCAGGGGAGCCACTAGTGCAAGGGTCTGAACAGGCCAGGTATGGTATAGGAAAAAAAAAAGCCAGTGATGTCAGAAAGTAATGAGCTACCAGCAAGAATAAAAAAACAATGATAGAGATGGAGGTAAGTATTAGATCATTTGGGGCTTTGTAAATTAAGCAAAGGATTAGATTTTACTCTAATTTGAATTTAGAAAAAAGTTTTAGTAGCCAGTTTTGCCTATTGTGTATTTTGGAACTACTTTGCCTGCCCTGATGGTGGTGACGACAATATTTTACCAAAAAGAAGTGGCAGACAGTAAAAAAGTGCCAATTTTAACGTTTGTTAGCATAAGTAAGTTTTAAAAAAATAGTCAGATGAAGTAATACAGGCCAAAGAATGGGAAGAGAACAAATATTTAAGAACCACTTACTATTTGTCAGGTAGTTTATATATACATCGTATCTCATATATTCTCAAAACCTTCCTGTGAGAGAGGCCAACATCTTTACCTATGTTTAATAACACAGTCAACTGATAATCAAGATGAGAACCCAGACTGCTGGACTCAAACCTTTGACATTTCCACTACTGGGGTGCCTTCCTCCCCATGTTCCACCAGACATACCTATTAACTCCATGAAAACTAAGCTTTAAAAATAGTTTCTTAAGAAATTTGGGAAACCTGCAAATATGTAGCAATTAAGCAATACACTCCTTGTAAATAACCAGTGGGTTAAGAAGAAATAACAAGAGAAATTAGAAAATACTTTAAGACTCAACATACCATAACTTACAGGATACGGCAAATGCTATACTTATAGAAAAATTTATACCTGTAAGTGTCTCTATTAAAAAAAAGAAGAAAGTAGTTATACGTGCTACAACATAGATGGACCCTGAAAGCATTATGCTAAGTGAAAGAAGCCAGTTACAATAAACCACATATCATATAATTCAGTTATATGAAATGTCCAGAACAGGCAAATGTATAGAGACAGAAAGTAGATTATTGATTTCAAAGTGTTAGAGAAGGGGAGAGTAGGGGGTTGATAGCCAAAGGGTATATAGGTTTCTCTTTCAGGTGATGAAAATGTTCTAAAATTTATTGTGATGACAATTGCACAACTCTGTGAATATGCTCAAAAATCACTGAATCATATACTTTAAATGGATGAATTATATGGTATCTGAATTATACCTCAGTAGCTGTTATAAAAACAAAGAAAACAAAAACCATTTCTTCTGAGATGCTTTCCTGGCTACTTCTAATCCCATTTTGTATATTTCTTTTTCTTTATCCACTCAGCAATTATTTTCTAAACATGTATTATTTTATAAATCATCGATTATATAACACTTGTGTCAAAGTGTTAATTTGAACTTGTGAAATTAACCTTACTTTTCCTTCTTGCTTTTCGGAACTTGACAGCAGCCAGATTTATTAAGTTCATTCCATACAGATTGTAGTCAATGAAGAGCTGCAGGAGGTAGGGAATATGCGCTTCATGAGGCTGGTAAAATTTATTCATTATGGCTCCACTTTGCAAAAGTTCACATATCCTAAATTAGAAAAAAAAGTTTTATCAGAAAATTTTATTCCCTAAAATGCTAAGTGAAATAATTACTACACAAATATAGAGCATAAAACACAGTATACTAGCACACAAAATTTTCATTTCAATTTTTATTGGAAATTTGTATTTTGTTAGAAATTAAAAAGTTTAAATCCAGTTTTAAAGTAAGCACTATGCTCTGAAAGGAAATAACAACAAAACAAAAACAAAATACCTTCATGGGTAAAGACTATTTTGACTTCTAAAACCAATTTAATACTAACCATATTAAAAAAGTCAAAATGTCAAAAAGGTTTTTAAAATATGAGCTTTTCCTTTTAAAAATTACAGAAATAATTTTGAAAAGATTACATAAACATCCTAAAAAATCAAAAAGGAAATAGGACTCATAATCTCACCATTCAGAGGTGTTATCATTTTAGTATTTTTCTCTTCTGAGTTTTTTTCCTTCATGATGGGAAATACAAACAACAGGCAATTACAAATAATATAATAACCGGAATGCAGAGAAAGCATATGAAGCATCTAGAAGAGACACCTAATCAGAGGTATAGAGGTGGTTTCTGTAAAGCCTTCGTGGAGGGAAGTGTCTAAGCTAGAGATGAACTGGAGGTCCTTTTTCTCTGAGAGGAGGAAAGAATATTTCACGCAAATGAAATTGCACATGTAAAGGATCATGAGAAAACAGAGCTTATTCAGCAACTGAAGCCACTGAGTAAAGCTGTAACCTAGCGTCAGAAGCTGCGGCGCGAGGTGGGGCTACAGAGGTAGTGAGAAGCCCAATAATGTGGAGCCTGCTAAGACATATGAATAAGTATTGGAGTTTAACTGAGAAGGAAACAGAACAAAGTGAAATGACCAGGCTAACTACAGAATGCATAAGACTAGAGATAGGGAGTGAGGAGGCTATTGTGGAAAAACGAAGATAATGGTGGCTGAAACAAGGATCATGAACGGACTGACTCAGAAGATATACAGGAAATAAAATGGTCAGGACTTGATGACTAACTAGACAGGGAGGGTGAGGTAGGAGTTGAGGACGATGGCTAATTTTTGGCTTAAGCAACTGGTTGATGCTGCTGCCACTGATTAAAACAGAAAATATTGGAGGAAAAACAAACTGTTCATTTTTTGGTGTGTTTTTGTTTTTGAGGAAGAATAAGGATAAACGCAAGGAGCCCTGGAGGCACAACAGTTAATCACTCAGCTGGCTAACTGAAAGGTTGGCAGTTCAAACCCCCCAGCTGTTCCGTGGGAGAAGGACAAGGCAATCTGCTTCCATAAAGATTACAGCCTTGGAAACCCTATCGGGCAGTTCTACTCTGTCTTATAGGGTTGCTATGAGTCAGAATTGACTTGACAGCACACAACAGCACGAACAAGGATAAACTCAATTTCAGACCTACTGGGGTTTAGGTAGTGGGGTACTGAGGTAGATTTCTACAATAATATTGGAAATTAATAATAATGAAGATAAGAATAATTCTATTAACAGAGCAGAGGCAAGTTAACATATTTTGGAGCACTATTACTAGACTCGATGGTACCTAATGTACTAGACACTGTGCTAAGTGCTTTAAATACTTAATCTCAAGTTATAAGATAATAGAGGATAAGCCTATTATCCCCATTTTACAAATGAGGAAGCTAAGTCTTATAGAAATTTAAAAAGTTGGCCAAAATCGGACAAATAAAAAGTAGCAAAGCTAAAATTCAACCCAAATTCTCTCTGACTTCTGAACACTCACCCTCAACCACAGTGTTAATCTATTTATTCAGTAGATGGTTTGTATATTGATCAAGAGCTCTGGAGGGAAATTTAGGCTACTGACACACATTTGAAAGTCAAATGTTTAAAGATTAACAAAAACAAAACAAAACATGGAGGTAGAGAAGACTGCAGAGAGGAGAGAGTATAGAAAGATGAAACCCTAAGACAGAAACACAAAGAACAATTGTTGTTGTTAGGTGCTGTTGACTTTTAACTCATAGTGACCCTATGTGATGGAGTATAACTGCACCATAGGATTTTCTAGGCTGTAGTCTTTATGGGAGCAGATTGCTAGGTCTTTTTCCCACAGAGTCGCTGGGTAGGTTCGAACTGCCAACCTTTTGGTTATCGGCTGAGCACTTAACCATTGGGCCAGCAGGGCTCCTTAAAAGAAACTACAGCTGTCTCCTTAAGGAGTAACTACAGATGTTAAAAGAGGAACCAACAAAATGGTATGAGTATGAATGATCAAAGAGGTAGGAGAAAAACCAAAGGAGGCTGGTAACACAGGAGCCAACATTTGAGATTGTTTTAAGACATCATAAATGCTGCTACAAGGTCAAAAGTTAAGGGCAAAAAGGTATTCACTGGATTTAACAACACTGAGGTCATTAGTGAAAGCAGTTTCAGTAAAATGGTTGGGGTAGAAGCCATATAGGAATAAGTTAAAGAGTGAATGGAAGTAAGAAACCGAATCCACAAAGTAGAGATAAATCCTTCAAGGAGAATGGCTATGCAAGTGTCTAAGACTATGAATGTGTGTGTTTAAAATTAACAGTCTTATTAAATGGTGTGGGAAAGGGAGATGAGGACACATTATAAACGGAAAAGGTCCTTGAAAAGGACAAAGAGGATGGATCTTGAGCCTTTTAGGTGATGCAGGGAGATCTTTTTCACTGTAACAGGTAGCAATAAAGAGAGAACAGATATGAACACAGTTTAAGGGGTTTAGACAGAAAATCAAGAGAGTTCTCTTTTAGTGGTTCTCAAACTTTTTGGTCCCAGGATCCCTTTTTATTCTTAAAAATTATTGGGAAACCCAAAGAGCTTTTGTTTATGTAGGTTATATCTACTGATACTTACCATATTAGAAATTAAGACTGAGAAATTTTTCAGATACTTATTTACTAATTTTAAAATAACAATAATAAACCCATTATGTGTTAACATAAATTTTTAAAACATAAAATATAGCTCTATTTTCCAAAACAAAAACAATTCAGTGAGAAAAGAGGTATTATTTCACATGTTTGCAAATCTCTGTCTGACTTAACACAGCTGGATTCTCACATCTGCTTCTCCTCAATCTGTTGCAATATACTGCTTTGGTTGAAGCATATGAAGAAAACTCAGCCTCATGCAATATGTAATTAGAAAAAGGAAGATTATTTTAACAGTCTTTTCAGATAATTGTGGATATTCTCCTTTGATATTACATGGAAACTCAACAAGTGGTTATTTCTTAAAGATTAGTTGCAAGATAGAATCTGAAACCAGATCAGTGAACTTTCTGTACCGTTACATTAAAATCTATTAGTCTGTCTTGTACTTTGAATGGATCTTTTAACCATGCATAATTTTCTAACACCATACATTGGTCATTTGGAAAATATAGGTCCACTAAGTTATGCAGATCTTCTAAACATTGATGCATTTCATTTTACAATATGAAAAAATCATGTTTGTTAATATCAACACCTATCTCATCAGAACAATCTTAAGTACTGGAAAGCTGTTAAGCTCACAGTGGCGAATAAAGAGTTTTCAAAATTCTAATGTTTGTTTGAAAGCTCAAATTTTATCATTGGCAATAAATACTATCAGTTATTTTCCTTGAAGTGACAGCCTCACTTTGTTCTTTTTTTAGAAAATGTCTTGACAAATATGCAAGTCTACATAACCTGGTTTGTCTATTAGTTGTTTTTTCAAGTAAAAATAGTATGTCTATTAGTTGTTCTTTCAAGTAAAAATGGTGTTCCATTTAAAAAAAAGTGGCTAGTTCTGTTCGCAATTAAGAACAATCATATAAATGCTTCTTTTCCTAAAGATAATCACAGCACTTAAGCAAACAGGAGATGTATCTTATGCTTAATGTCATTTTGTCACATAAAATATTAGAAAGATATATATTCAAAGGTTAAGATTTAATAAAAGTAAAAATTTTTACTGTGTTATTATTTATATACCTAAGTAAAACATTTTATTTTGTTCGTTTTTTTTTTAGCTATGACTGCTTAGTGGTAGAAAATACAATGTCTAGTACAGTTTGATGCCATTTCTTTAATTTGGGCTAAGTGCCAGCAATTTTATCCACCATTGCTTCTGCACCATCAGTGAACATGTAAAAAAGACAAATCACATTTTAGTATTATTATGAAAATAATTATGACCATGCAGCGTCCCTAGAAGAGTTTCAGGGGCTCTCAGACCACACTTTGAGAACCTCTGTTTTAGACTGATGGGTCCATTTTCTCTGTAAAGTAGGAGGCAAGTCCTCAGCAGAGGCTTAACATCCGAGTAAAAAGGGTGGAAAATGGTGAAGAAAGTTAATTAGAATAAAGTAGAAGTAAGGCAGGGCAGGGGAGGGCCCGGGTGAAGTTGAAAACCATGAATTGACAGTGGTACCAATCTGATTTTTTTATCCTGCAATAATCAGAAACTAGCATTTAGCAGAGAGAAATAAATGTATTAATCCAGAATTGATGGTTTCCCTTGGCAGGTAAGGGAGTTGAGAAGACAAAGCATTAAATTTAAGCTGGAAAAAAAAGGAATTAATTGCAGGAGGAGGCTACAAGATGGGGCAGTAATAGTGTGGCCAAGGGGCTTGATGCCTAAGAACAGCTGGAGTAAGAGTAACTCAGGGACAGAGTTAAAAAGAAGACAGACATGAAGGATCTTACTGGAGCAATGAAAATGTTCTAAAACTGGATTATGGTGATAGCTGCACAGTTCAGCACATTTACTAAAAATCATTGAATTGTGTACACTTAAAAAGTGTGAATTTTGTGGCATGTAAAATATACCTCAAAAAATTGTTTGAAAAAAGGACGGAAGATTGTAGTCAGAAATCAAGATGTTTGCATCTAAAATTTCAGGGGGAGAACCAATTCCAGAGTATGGCCAAGAGAGTCAGCGGTTTAAGAAGAATGAAAATAAAAATCACAGGAGATGAGCAAGTAGAGGAAACAAGAGGTGACATAGCTCCCAAAAGACATGAATAGTATTCATTCATTTATCCAACAAATATTTACTGACTGACTACTATGTGCCAGACACTATTCTAAGTACTGGGGATTCAGCAGTGAACACAGCAGACAAAAAATCTTTGCCTTTGTGGAGATTTACATTCTAGTATGATACCAATTTTACATGTAAATTAAAAAAAGAGAATACATGCATATAGGTACATATAAATGCATGAAAAACAGGACATACACCAAGCTCTTAAAAGTGATTACCTCTAGTGAAGAGAGTTAAGAGTAAGGGTAAGGTCCAAACTGCAATATTTTGCAATATTTTACACGTAAATACAATAGCTAACATGTACATAAATAACACTTATAATGCACCAGGCACTGTTCCAAGTGATCTACAGATATCAACACATTTAATCCTCAGAATAGCGGATACTAAGATCAACCCTCTTAAAAGGGTGAAAGCTAAGGCACAGAGAGATTAAATAACCTTGCCTAAAGTTAACCAGGTAGTAAGCAGCACAATCAGAATTTGAATGCAGGTGGTCTGGTTTCAGAGTCAGGGCTCTTATCACTACACTGTGTATTAGTTAAGCATTATAACACAAATGATACACAAATGTATAAACAAATGTATACTCAAATGTATAAAGGTACAATAAAAAATAACAAAAAAATGGAGAAAAATTTTCTTTCATAGCCTGCTCTTTTCCGTCATAGCCTATATCACAATTTCTGATTATGTTTGTATTAGTTCACCATTTGTCTCCTCTGCTAGGCCGTAAGTTTCCTAAGGGCAGGAATCATGCAAGTTTTATTCACCACTGTTTACTCAGCAACTTCCACAGTGCATCATATAATGTAGGCCCTTTATACACACTCCTTTAAAAATGAATAAATGAATGAATCACCAACAAATTAGGTAACTTCAGATGGGCACTGTGATAAGCTGACTGTATAATTTAATGCAAACTTATTGGGAATACTTCAACAGTATGTGATTGCTACAGTCGCAAGGAAGAAAAACAGATTTATATTTCAAGTAGAATTACAGCTTACATGTTATTTATTAAAAAACTTGTACATGGTTTCCTCTTCTAGCACAGTTTGTGGAGAAGAAGAAAAACAACTAAGGTTTACTCTCTTGCTGCTCTGTATGCAAGGAGTAAGAAATCACAGCTTGTGGTACCTTACACCATAGATACTGTTTAAGGTAAGGTCAAGGGGAGGCTACAGAGAAAACTAGTTCTCACTGACTACTCAGAGAAGGGAATAAACATTTGGATTAGGGCATGATTCAGTGAAGTACTCAGAATAAACCCCATGTCCTTGTTTGCTGTGTCTCTTAGTGCTGAAATTATCTCTGGGGAAACATCCAATTTGCATCTTACCAAAAGGATGTTCCCTTTTGGAACCCAGTACCTACTGACAGAGAGACCCTCCTGAAAAAACAACACTCAGCCCTCCTCCAAGGCCCTGTTTTCCCTAGCTTGTCACCACAGAGAGTAAAAACCCTTGTTCTGAACCCAAAGGATAGCTGAAGTCTTCTATACATTTGCCCTTCCTGCTACCAATAACCTGGGCTCCAGGATGACTGAGAAAATGAACTAGAGGCAGAGAGACTAAGGGAAGGATAGGGGGTAGAAAAAAACAAACAAACCTACCAAAACAAAAAAACTCAGGATATAAAGTTTCGCTAATGTCTAGTAAGGAATTAGTTGGACTCTAAGACCTCAGAAGCCCTTTCACCCTGGCCTCTCACACATTTCTCCTTGCTTTCAAACTGAACAGTAAGTTTCTCTTAGTATTCTATACCCAGCAAAGCACTATGATTATACAAGGTAGTCTTCATCTCTCCTTATATACTCCCACAAACTCCCTAAACCTAAAACAGGAAAGAAGGAGTTGGGGATCATAAACCAAGATCCCTCCCTGCATAAACATTAGCCCACTCATGGGTCTCTCAGTGCACATATATATACATATCATGGTCTCTTTAATAATGATACAAAGTATACAGGCCTTTCATCTATATTTTTCTTTTTATTACTAAAATACTTAAAGTGATAGTTATTTAGAGTTTGGCTTCCTTTATCTTTGTACCTTTTCATCATTGCAGGATTATAAAGATAGATCTTCATAAAGTGTCTTTCCTTCTCATGATAACCATAAAAAGGCCTGAAATATAAGAAAAAGATATTTCAAATTATTTTCATCATTCACAGATGAAATAATATAACTTATTGTCCTAATTAGACTCACTTGGCCTAGTTCAATTTTACTTCTATTTAACATCATCAAAAAAAAAAAAAGACCTTTCAATTAACCCTACCATAGGTTAACATACAAAATGTTGAAATCTGGTTACTTCTTTTAAAAAGTTTTTAAGAGTATTACTTTCAAAAACCTAAGGACAAAAAAGAGCAGCAAACTTAATCTCAATTCAATATGACTCTTAAAAAGTGGCCTTTTTCTCTTTACTCTGAACATGATGAGAGAAGAGAGACCTTTCAGGCCCTTCTCCTATCCCCTCTTTTTTTCATCAAAAACTAAGCGTTCTTCATAAACAAAGTCCTTTATTTAACAACACATATCACTTTCCCTGTCCAGCAATGTTTATTATTAATTTTGCAAGTTCACAAGGCAGCAACATAGGATGGTATGGATACCCAGGGAAACTCTTAGGCAGGAAGTAAAACAGAGGAAGAGTTTGAAAGTAGATATTTTGATGCTTAAAAAATTGTATGTGATAATTAGAGCTAGTTTTTTAATATAACAACAAGAAGGAAAATGAGGAAGAACGTGAAAAATCTCAGCTAAATAACTTACATGCACTGAGGTCATTTGTTTATTCTTTATAAGAGATTCTCTAGAATCATGGTAGCTGAATGGCAAGAAATCTCAGAAATGAGCCTAATGTGTCATGGCCCTATCTCTTAACACAGCCTGAATGCATAGTCTAGAAAAACTGGAATTAAATCTTGTACAAATTTTAATTTGGTAGGGAGATGCAACCTTGTCTATCAAAGAAGTATGGAGTACTGAAAGAGTAAAAGTATCAGAGAAGGTAGAATGAATGGTGAGAGAAAAGGGAACCCAGGTAAGAGAAAAAATGAAAAATATTAGAATAGCAGAAAAAAAGAGAATGGCAACCACTAATTAGATTGAACAGCTCATTTTTTGCCCCTAGGTATCCAGATCTGTCACTCAACTACTCTTGAGAATATAGCAATGCTGTAATAAATACCCACCAAAAATATAGAAAGACTGGTGACTATTCACTTCACTGGGCTGTTTGGAGATTCACCTCTGAAATAAGATTATATATAGGAAAGGTCTTGCAAAGCTTTAAAGCACAAAAACAATTAAAAAGATAAAGCTGGTGATTATTTTTAACAAAATTGCTGCCGTCATGGGATGAGTATGGACTTTCACCTCATTCTTTTATTCAGCCAGTTATGGAGCCATACCTATTAAGTAAGTGCCCAGCACCATACAAGGTTCATAATGATGTTCATAATGATGAACAAGACAAAGATGGCTCTTTGTCTCCTGGAGCTTACATGCTAGTAAGAGAAACAAGAAACACACACAAATTAAGCAAACAAAAATTAAAATAACTGCAAACTATCTCAAGTGTTAAATGAAGCAAATACTGGGCTGAGATTTAGAATAATAAGGGCAATTTATTTTAGATAGGGTAATCAGGGAAAATTTCTCTAGAGAGGTGAAGGATTTGAAGGATTAGAGAGCATGGTAGAAAATCAGATCTGTTGCCACTGAGTTGATTCCGACTCATAGAGACCTTATAGGACAGGGCAGAACTGCCCCACAGTTTCCAAGGAGTAGCTGGTGCATTCGAACTGCTGACCTTTTGGTTAGTAGTCAAGTTCTTAACCACTATGCCATCAGGGGTCCTAGGAGCATGGCAGAGCACTCAAAAAATTGCATACACAAAGAGCTTAGGTGAGAAAGAGCTTGGCTTATTAGAGGAACTGAAAGAAGACCAGTGTTTCTGGATGGAGTATATTGAACAAAGTCTCAGCATAAGGCAGGGGTCAGATCACATAAGCTGTGGTTAGAAGTTTAAATTTTGTTCTATATGCAATATGAAGCCACTCAAGGATTTTAAATGATGTTTTAAAGATCCAATTTACATTATAAGAAAAGTACTTTTGCTGCTCTGGAGTGAGATAAAAATAGAAGAAGGGATTTCAATTGAAGAATAGAAGAAAAGAGTTCAATCAAGGCTACTGTGATGGTCTGAAGGAAAGTCTAGATTAAAAGGTGGAGGAAAACAGATTTAAGATTTCCACTTTGATTTCATACAGAAATATCAAACTCAACACATTCCAATATAAGCTCTGGTCTTTCCTGCCAACCTGTTCTACCTGCACCTTCTCTGTCTTGCATGTTGGCAATTCCACCCTTTTAGTAGCATAGACTTAAAATTTTGTACTCATCCTTGACTCCTCTCTCTCACACCCCTATTCCAATCAGAGAGCAAATCTTGTTGATGTACCCTCAGAACAGATCCAGAAGCTGACCACTTCTCACTATTCCACTGCTACTGCCTAATCCCCTGCTACTACCAGAGTTTAAGACATCATATTCTCTCACCCAGCGTAACAAAACAGACTCTCAACGCTCTCCCTGCTTCTACTTTTGTCCCTCCATAATCTCTTCTTAACACAGTAGCTAGAGTAATCCTTTCAAGTAAACTCAGACCACGTCTGCTCTAAATCATGCAATAGCTCATAGTGAATGCCGAAGTCCCTACCGTAGCCTACTGCAGTGGTTCTCAAACTTTTAGCATATATCAGAATCACCAGAAAGGCTAATTAAAACACAAATTGCTGGGCCCCACCTCCAGAGTTTGATTTAGTAGGTCTATGGGGGGACCCAAGAATTTGAATTTCTACTGAGTTCCCAGCTATGTTAGTCTGAGCCCTCTGATAAAGATGCCAGAATGTGCAAGAAATTTATTAGAGAACACGCCTGTGAGAAAAAATGAGGAGGGAACCAGCAGAGGCGGGGAGAGCCATCAGACCTTCATACAGGTCTGATCCCAAGTGAAAGAGAGGAGGACAGAAGAAAATGTGGGGGGGAATGTCTTATACTAAACTGCAATTCTAATGAAAGTTCAGCAAGGCTGTCTGAGAAACCTCAAGCCAAAGTTACCCATTAGGAGTTCCATGTCTCCTACCTTTCTATATTAAGAAATAGGCCTACCTTAGTATCCCTACCATGCTCAGTCATTGGCTGAGAGCAGCCTCTGGAAAGTGCTTTCAGCTCATATGGGGTGATGGATTAGATTTCAGTGTGCAGTAGCTGGGGCCATTGGTCAATTATGCTCCCTGTGGTTGATGATCTGAGAGGTGCATTCTAACAGCCGTCATATTAGGTAATGTTGATGCTGCTGATCCTGTCACCATACTTTGAGAACCACTGGCCTACACGATCTCCATCCTCTCATACCTCTCTAACCTCATTTTGTCCTACTCTCCCCTCTTCCTTCCTCCATTGGGCCTCATGTTGCTCCTACTCCCTTACCTCCTTCAAGTCTTTGCTCAAATGTCATTTGCCTTGTCAATGAGACCTTCCTTGATTTAAAAAAAAAAAACCAAACCACGGCCATTGAATCAACTCATAGCAGCCCTACAGGACAGAGTAGAACCACCCCATAGTTTCCAAAGTGGTAAATCTTTATGGAAGCAAACTGCCCCAACTTTCTCCTGTGGAGTAGCTGGTGAGTTTGAACTGCCGACCTATTGGTTAGCAGCCGAGCACTTAACCACTGTGCCACCTGGGACCCTTCTTCCTTGATTGCACTATCTAAAAGTTCTACCTGCACACTTCTCCACCCTACACCCGATTCTCATCCTGTTCTATGTCTTTTTTTCTATAGCATTATTTACCTTTTAATAAAAAAAACAAACTTATTAATAACCTATTGGTTATTGTCTGTTTCCCTCTACTAGAATGTAAGCTCCATGGGGATGGGGATCTTTGTTCTGTTCATCAGTATATCCCAAGCACCTCAAACAGTGCCTGACATACAGGAGGTACTCAAGAAGTATTTGCTGAATGAGTGAATTTCTAGTTCTAGGAAGCAGAAGAATAGGAAATATTAAGAGAGATCACTGTTAACCATCTATCTATTTTTCATTGCAACAGAAATTTATTTAAAAAGTTATAGCAAGAAGCTCTCCCTAGTTCCACTAGGAAAAAAAAAAAAAAAAAAAAAGAACAGAGTACATGTGAATCAGATGTTTTCTTCTAATTAGAATAGCAATAGATATACAGATAAACACAAATTTGAAAACATGTTATCATATACTTACATTCCTGATACTAATGACACTTTGAACACATGCTGAGCAGTGGAAGATGGATTGCCTAAAGCCACATTAAGTGCTCTGTCGATACTGAATGCCATCTGAGAAAGATAGCTTTCTGGCTGCTGTCCATAACCATCGTATGGCACATAGAGGTAAGGAAAGATGCCATGTAGATGAAGACATGTCTTCTGACCTAAAATATAACACATTATAAAGTTTAGTCTTGAAAAGCATTTAAAAAATTTAATATTACAAAGCTCAGAATGCAAGCTGTTTAAATGTTCTAATGGCAACACAGCTAATCTAAGGTAAAGGTTGAGGAAAATAATCTATAATTAAAGCCACCTATATTAACTATGTTTTACAACAAAACATTTGGAAGCATTTTGTAAACATCAGCATTGTAGTATAATTTAAATAGTATTTTAGTGAAAATATATTTGAATATTTTACCCTCACAACCCAATTATTTTTATGTACTTCACTAAATCAACCTGTAATACCACTTAGCACAGTGTTACGAAGTTTTCAGGAATTTACTGAAAGTTTACTAAATAAATCAATTAATGTGTTTGGCATAAATGTTTTCAAACAAGATACTTCCCTAAGACAAAAACAGTTCCAAGAGAAAAGAGAAAGTAAAAGCAGTTCCAGTGTGTGGAATTTTGCTATTAGAAGGGGCCAATAAATAAATATATAATAAAAATTTTGCTATTAGAAAAAATAGACAGAAACAAATCAAAACAAAACCCCTATAGATCAACTGTAATGAACTTCCAGATACCTAAATTGCATTATTTGGTGGAGTAGGACAGGGAGACACAAGGAGAGGAAAAAACAAACATGCACACTTTCAGGAAGCCATATTCTATCAGTCAAGCTGCAGAAGGGGTAAACGGTGCTGGCTTGCCAATACACAGTCCGGCACAGACATGATAAAGAAAGTAATGCAGTGTGAACTCACAAAAGAAGCGCCACAAAAACAGCAATGTGTCCCTGACAAGGTAAGTAACAAGAACAGCAGCAACAAAAGCAGATGCACCGTTACTCTCATGAATCTGGCAGGGCTGTATGGAAGTGGATCCTGTTCTCACAGTATTGTCCTTAGTCGCCCTTGGATGCATGCCATTTGTCGAATTCAAACAGAGAGGAGAACAGCCGCAATGGAAGAACATATCCATTTTTCTCATGCTGTCACTCACTGTCACTGTGCTGCTCCTGCCAACACAAGCCACATGCTTCTTCCCACCCTTCCTTCCCTTCCACTCTCTGTATCTCTCTGTCTTTTTCTTTTTGTAGGAAAGTAGCTATTATAACAATAAGTAGAAACATTCATGGAACTTCATTTCACACTGTTTGACTACTACTTCCTATTTATAACTAAGAATGATTTATATAAAATATTCAGAAAATAGTTCTGCATTCTGTTGATATCTCATGTTTATATTACTTAAAAGGAGTGACATCAGCTTGTCTTTATTTTTAAAGCACAATTATAACAATTAACTTACAAATTTGGAACAGTTATTACATAAAGTATAACAAAAGTATTACATAAAGAAAGATCAGTCATATAATGGAATAAGATGTGCATACTCCAGACTATGATTTGAACTCACGACCTTCATACTTTTGAAGTATTACAAATTGTGTTACTGTTAAACCAGTTCCAGTTTCTATTTTTAGCAGTAGTTATCCTACTTCATTTTAAATAAATAAAAAATTCTTTTCAGTTAAAAGCAAATCCTTTGGCTATTCCATTTTACTTTTAAACACAACATGACACTATTTTCTAAATATCACAGTTTTTGAATTCTTCAAATAGAAAAAATTCAAATTGTAATGATAAATAAATCTTAACAAAATATATCCTTAATTCACTGATGACCTACTTGAATGCTCTTTATTATTTTTATTGTTGTACTTTAAGTGAAAGTTTACAGTTCAAGTTAGTCTCCCACACAAAAATTTATACATACATTGTTATGTAACCCTAATTGCTCTCCCTATACTGTGACAGCACACTCCTCCTTTCCACCCTGGATTTCCTGTGTCCATTCAGCCAGCTCCTGACCCTCTCTGCCGTCTCATCTCACCTCCGGACAGAAGCTGCCCATTTAATCTCATGTATCTACTTGAGCTAAGAAGCGCACTCTTCACGAGTATCTTTTTATGTTCCACAGTCCAGTCTAAACTTTGTCTGAAGAGCTGGCCTCGGGAACTGTTTTAGTTCTGAGTTGACAGAGAGTCCAGGGGCCATGCTTTCTGGGGTTCCTCCAGTCTCAATCAGACCACTAACTCAGGCCTTTTTACTAGAATTTGAGTTGTGCACCCTACTTTTCTCATGTTCCATCAGGGACTCTCTGCTGTGTTCCCTGTCGGGGTGGTCATTCGTGGTAGCTGGGCACCACCTAGTTCTTCTGGTCTCAAGATGATGCAGTCTCTGGTTTATGTGGCCCTTTCTATCTTTTGGGCTTATACTTTCCTTCTGTCTTAGGTGTTCTTCATTCTCCTTTACTCCAGGTGGGCTGGGACCAATTGATGCATCTTAGATGGCTGCTTGCTAGCTTTTAAGACCCAAGATGCCACTCACCAAAGTAGGATGCAGAACATTTTCTTAATAAACTTTGTTATGCCAATTGACCTAGACATTCCCTGAAAGCATGGTCCCCAGACCCTTGCACCTGCTACTCTGTCCCTTGAAGTGTTTGGTTGTAGTCAGGAAACTTCTTAGCTTTGGTTTAGTCCGGTTGTGCTGACTTCCTCGGTACTGTGTGCTGTCCTTCCTTTCAGCTAAGATAATTCTTGTCTACTACACAGTTAGTGAATAACTCTCTCCCTCCCTACCCACCCCGCCCACCGTCATAACCATCAAAGAATGTTTTCTCTGTGTTTAAACCTTTTCTTGAGTTCTTATAATAGTGGTCTTATACAATATTTGTCCTTCTGTGACTGACTAAATTCACTCAGAATAATGACCTCCAGATTCCTCCAAGTTATGTTTCACAGATTCACTGTTGTTCTTTATCTTTGATTAGTATTCCATTGTGTGAATATACCATAATTTGTTTATCCATTCGTACGTTGATGGGCACCTAGGTTGTTTCAATCTTTTTGTTATCGTGAACAGTGCTGCAATTAACATGGGTGTGCACGTATCTATTTGTGTGATGGCTCTTATTTTCTCTAGGATATATTCCAAAGAGTGGGATTGCTGGATCATGTGGTACTTCTATTTCTAGCTTTTTAAGGAAGCATCAAATCGATTTCCAAAGTGGTTGTACCATTTTACATTCCCACCAATAGTGTATAAGTGTTCCAGTCTCTCCACAATCTCTCTAGCATTTATTATTTTGTGTTTTCTGGATTAACGCTAGCCTTGTTGGGGTGAGATGGCATCTCATTGTAGTTTTGATTTGGATTTCTCTAATGGCTACTAATCATGAGCATTTCTTCATGTGTCTGTTAGCCGCCTGAATGTCTTCTTTGGCGAAGTGCCTGTTCATCTCCTTTGCCCATTTTTTAACTGGGTTGTCTTTTTGTTGTTGAGGTTTTGCAGTATGTTGTAGATCTAAGAGATTAGATGCTGATCGGATTTGTCGTAGCCAAAATTTTTTTTCCCAGTCTATAGGTTGTCTTTTTACTCTTTTGGTGAAGTCTTTTGATGAGCATAAGTGTTTGATTTTTAGGGGCTCCTTGTTATCTAGTTTCTCCTCTGGTGTTTGTGCATTGTTACTTATGGCTCATATTCTGTTTATACCATGTATTAGGGCTCCTAGCGTTGTCCCTATTTTTTCTTCCATGATCTTTATCATTTTCAATTTTATATTTAGGTCTTTGATCCATGTTGAATTAGTTTTTGTGCATGGTGTGAGATATGGGTCTTTTTTCAGTTTTTGCAGATGGATATCCAGTTATGCCAGCACCATTTGTTAAAGAGACTGTCTTTTCCCTAATTAACAGACTTTGGGCCTTTGTCAAATATCAGCTGCTCATAGGTGGATGAATTTTATGTCTGAATTCTCAGTTCTGTTCTATTGGTCTATGTATCTGTTGTTGTACCAGTACCAGGCTGTTTTGACTACCGTGGCAGTATAACAGGTTCTAAAATCAGGTAGTGTGAGGCCTCCCACTTTGTTCTTCTTCTTCAGGAATGCTTTACTTATTCGGAGCCTCTTCCCTTTCCATATGAAGTTGGTGATGTGTTTCTCCATCGCATTAAAAAATGGCGTTGGAATTTGGATCGGGATTGCACTGTATCTGTAGATCACTTTGGGTAGAACTGACATTTTCATAATGCCGAGTCTTCCTGTCCATGAGCAAGGTATGTGTTTACACATATGCAGGTCTCTTTTGGTTTCCTGCAGTACTGTCTTGTAGTTTGCATTGTATAGGTCTTTTATGTCTCTGGTTAGATTTATTCCTAAGTATTTTATCTTATTGGGGGCTATTGTAAATAGTATTGATTTGGTGATTCTTGAATGCTCTTTAAACATTTAAATAAAAAAATTATACCCACTGCCTTTCTGGACAAAAAGCACAAAGTAGGGGAGGTGGGGATACACAGAAGTATTCCGTAGTAGGTTGACAAATAAATCCAAGACATAAGATTTCTCCGATGGGTAACTTTGGCTTGAGGTTTTCCCAAAAGCCTTGCTGAACCTTCATTAGAATTGCACTGCAATATAAGACATTTCTACCCAAACTTCCTTATTTACCAGTGTTATCACATATTTTACAAGCAATACTGTAAGTTACTAAGATATTAACAGTCAATACAGCTTAATAATGTAATTTTTGTATAATTTTACAAGAAACAACTCCAAAATTAGATTTCTATAAATATTTTCTTTATAGGCAAGGTGCTCACCAAGTATCTTTTAAAAAATAATAATTTCATATCAACTTTTCATATCTCCTGTGAAGTAGGAGCAATTATCTTTCTTTTTATAGGCTTTGTAACTACAATAATCTTGAGATCCACGATTTAGGATAGAAGTAGAAGAAAATGACTTATTTAGCAGGTACTGGGCTAAGTGCTGTATATATGTTATTTTTAAAACTTAAAACAACCTAGCAAGTATCACAGAGGTAAATTTTCCCGAAGTTACACAGCTATTAAGTAATTGAATCAGGACTTGAAAATCAGATCGACTAAATCTAAAACCAATAACTTTCCACTTAACCATGTTC